GGAGTCTGACAACACCAGCAGGGACTCGAGGAGGACTCAAGACATGGCCCCTCAAGACCAGGATGTAAGGAAACGTTCACCGCAGGAATAAAAAAACACGGTATCTCCTCACCCTAGAGGAATCAACACATAATTTGTGTGTTTTATAGCCACGTAAAATAAAAATACTTAGTCATTTTTCAATGATTTTCTTTGCTTTGAGATATTCCCTTATTTGTCCTGTGAGCCCTCTGATGTTCTCACCAGGGTGCTACACAGATCTGCCACAGGGACAGCTGAGGAGAGGAGGTGGGGGGGATTGGATGTTGTTGTTGTTGTTGTTGAAGAAGGGCCTCTCGATGGTGGCTGCTGAGCCGGTACAGAGCTGAACTGACATCCGTCTTGTAACAAGGCCACCTCAAGGCTGACGTCTCCTCCTGTCTGCACCTGTTTACTGGTTCACACTGATTTGTTTTTCCTCCCTTACCACTGACAGACTGTTCAGCTTGTATTTGTGGTCATGATTTGACCAAACATCCAGTGCCATGCTTTCAGCACTTGACAGATGTTTATATAGTATGGTTGTTGTTGTTGACTACTTTTGTTCTGTTCGTCAGCAGGATTAACAGATTTCATGAATGCATTTCACATGAAAAAAGGCTCCTGATCTGCCTGCTAGAACATATATTTTCACTTGAACATTATTCTATTATTCTGTTGTATTGTCTGTGTGTATCAGTGTGTCTGCTGGTGCTTGTGTGTGTTTACATCCACTACTGCCGGCTGAAATGTTGACTTCCTGTCTTTTATGTAGTCATGGCCCCTGGGTGAGGCCTCATGTCCTCATTCCGTAGAGTCCTTGTATAGCAGGATGTTGTGTGTAATGGAAAAAGGTGTACTATCGAATGAAAGAACTGGTGCATGCTGTATAGAAACAGCCTCCAGCAGGACTTCTTTCAAACAACTCCCTATCGGGCCAAGAACTACAGTTCACAGTCAGTGAGTGCGCTCCATGTGAAAGTCCTTTATATGTTGAGCTCGTCGCCCCCTTTAGCAAAACATTGTAATATTTAACAATCTCTAAATTCAGAATGACTACACATGTAGAACTGGTAAAAACTGAACTGTAGCTAAAAGATTTAAGATGTCATTAACGGTGTTTGGAAATGTTTAAGTGTACTTAGATTTATTTCATGTGACAAATGAGGAGTCGTGGGGCCAATTCATTTCATCGGCTAATAATTTTGTCAAAAACACATTTCTGTAAGTGCTGGTTACCTGCCCGTTGATGACCTTGTTGCTCCCGTTGTGTTTTCCAGCCGAGGAAGTGGAGAGGTTGACAGCGATGCGCTCTGATTCGCTGGTTCCGGGCACACACACGCCTCCCATTCGGCGGCGGAGCAAATTCGCCTCCCTGGGTCGTCTATTCAAGCCCTGGAAATGGAGGAAGAAGAAGAGTGAAAAGTTCAAGCAGACCTCTGCCGGTAAGAACCGAAACACTGCGTCACATTATCACCCAGCTCCTCACCTCTCCCTCCCTGTAGTGGGGGGAGGGGGGAGGTAGATAAATGTCTCCCTGTGGCACCTAGCAACAGTAGCATTGATGAATGGAGCTGCAGAGCAGAGGGTGATATAGGGCCTGCAGCAAAGATGTACCATCTATGATTATGGTTATGTAAGGCTGGTAAAGCACCGGGAGGCTTCGGCCAGCAGCTCCTGCTGCCGCTTCATCAACCAGACCGCAAGCAGACCAACCGCTGAGCCGGGTTCTTGCTGCAACTCTGGTTTTAACGAGTTATTGATAATAAGATAGATGAGTAGATTGATCTCATGCATGAACAAACCACACGGTACAAACAATTGTGCAAAGGCAAGTATTGAAAAATATATGCTCACTGGTGTACAAGTGTGCAAATTCCAGTAAGATTTGCAAAATTAATTAACTGTTCTAAGTAATAAAAAAAAAAGTAAATTTATTTAAATAGCACATTATTAAACAACAATTGTTGACAAATGCCTTCACAGAGAAGTCGGCAATAAAATCAGATTAATGAAAGAAAATATTACTAAAAAGAAATTCTAGAACTAAGAAAAGAACATTTTGAATGCAGGACTTTTATTTTGGTGTTTCTCACTGTGGTAGTACTGCTTTTACTTTAAGTACATGATCTTCTCAGAAAAGGAAGAATCTAGAGTCTGGACGAAATCCAGCCAAGTGCTTGTAGTCGTTAATTTCCACAATTTCCATTTGATTTACCCGCTTCAAACACTATCACTAAACACTGTTAATTACAGTATTCATCAGAGACGCAAACTCAACAGCGCGGGAGTGAAGTTGATAACATTTACTGCAGCAACAGAACAGCTTTAAATGCTTAATTGTCCCTATTTTACAGTGAATGAACTCGACGTTAGCCCCAGTATCTGAGGAAATGTGGGTGTCGGTACATAATAGGTTCTCCGCTACAATCTGCACTCAGTAGTAAACTGTGAAATGAAAGACAGCGTCATATTTTGAAGGAGAAATCGAAGCTGTCGTTGTTCCTCAGCTGGCTGAATGGTTTCACATCTTGTTATTACTGAGAGACACAAACACGCCGCAGAGGGGTGAAGAGAGACTTCCTGCAGCCAAGCTGTTCTCCCAGCTGTCACTGCAGGTTGCTTCCTTTCTCTGTATGCAAATAAAACACAATATACCGGCCTTCATTTTACAGCACACAGGTAGAAACGCAGCGCGAGCACCGTGCGTTACTGCTGGTGCATTAAATCATGTGGGAATTCATGGATTCAGAGAAGGTTACCATGCTATCTTAAAAACATACTGCAATTTTTGTTTTTATTGTTCAGCTAATTAGCTGCAAACATGATGTGTTTTTTGGTTCCACTCTTCTCTCTCTCTGTGGATCAGCTAGCTGGTGGTGAAACCTGTGCGTCGCTCAGTCACATATTATTCCTGGTAGCAGTGAGTCCAAACAAACAAACTTCATGTCTGCTGCAGCTGACACATTCATTGACACTAATGACGCAGTAGAAGGATCCAGTGCACAGGTGGTCTTTCGAATTGTTGTCGTTGTAGATTCAACGTCATGTCTTTTCTCCCTCAGTGTTGGAGAGGAAGATGTCCACTCGCCAGAGCAGAGAGGAGCTCATCAAGAAAGGAGTGCTGCAGGAGGTTTATGAGAAAGGTGAGGGGCAAGAAAACAAAGGTGGTCGATACAATGTGGGGCTTAAATGTCAAATGTTGAAACGAAGCAGTTCATAAGCAAAATTATTAGGTTCTTTATTTATTTTAGATTTTGTCCTTTTAATCAAGTAAAAGTACTCTCAGTAGATTGATTGGTCAGATGTGACTGTTTGCTTGTTTTTTTCCGTTTCATGTCATTTTTGGAATAACTGGTGCTTTCAGTCTGTTACTATGTCCGGCAATAAGGAAGCGCTGTGATTAATGTCGGAGTCTTGATGATACAATCAAGCCTAAAAAAAAATAATTGATTCATGATTCTTTTTTTTTTCTGATGTAATGCAAAACAGGGGAACATATTAAGCATCAGTTTGGTTATTTCACACATCATTTTACATAAATGAGCCATATTATAAATAGATCATGATCAATGCAATTTCTGCACCTCTCTGTGGCTGTGGTAACTTAACTCGTTAGGCATGTGTTATTTATTTATTACATTTTATAGAGAAAATCAGTTATTTATTAGTTGGAAGTTGTTATATATGTATTAAGGACTGGCTCGTGGAGCCCTGGCTGCAACATTGCCTCCTCTGCCTTAGAATTCCAAGCTGTCTTTCATTTACCTATTTTTGACTTCCTTCCTCCCGTCGTCATCTTTTTCCTCTCTGTGTGTATAGCCGGCTCTTCCTCAGCTGTACTCCAGGAGGTGAAGATGGAGAACGGGCGTTCTCCGGTGCTCGGCTCCGGCCTGTCAGAGTCTGAAGGTACTGAGCTGATGGAAGGAGCGGCTGCAGCTGTAGGTAGGCAGCAGAGCCTCGGGCACCATTGTTGCCTCATCTCTTGTCTCATATTGTAGCGTCTGACTGTTTTTTATTTCCGTGTCTCTGATCCTCAGGCTCTCTGGAGTTTCAGATGCCAAAAGAGGGTGCGTGTCAACAGGACCATGCCCAGAAATCCATGAAGAAGTCCACCCTGTGTCCGGCTGATTGCGCTGAATCAACACACTCCAGACCTCCCACGCTACACAAACAACCTCCTGCGCTGGCACCGAAGCCCTTACACAGGCTACCTAATCACTTTGCAGGTACATTTGTCTTTTGTGCACATTTATAGATGCGTGTGTGACTCTGTGTATACATGTCTGATCTTTTCACATCCCCCCTGCTCCGTGCAGACGGCGCCCCAGTGAAGTTGCCATGTATGTCTTCGAAGTTATCTCCTCCTCTACCTCCAAAGAAGCTCATGATCTCCATACCTGCAGGGAGCATGGAGCCCTCTTCACTCGCCTTCCAGAAGTACCCCCCTCCCAGCCATGCTCCAATGGGCGGGCACTCCCTGCAGTACGGGGTGCTACCCCTCCACCCCCCCCGCCGAATCATAGAGGAGCTCAACAAGACCCTCGCCCTTACTATGCAGAGGTTTGAGAGGTATGGGGCAGATCTCAAAGTATTCAACAGAATTTGTTTTTACTTTTTTTTTTTTTTTTTTTTTTAACTATTGTTTTAGGCTTGGTTTTTTGCATACATTTTTAAAAATATTATGGAGACAGCTTCCAGTACATAGATCCAGTAAAAATAAAGAAATAAATTATTAAATCGGGAAAACATGTCACACGTGGTACTACTACAGGATCACACAGTCATAAAGGAGTATGAATTTATTTAGACCTATCTTCCAATTTAATGTAATCCCAGAACCGGTCCCCAGAGAGACACCCCTTCATCCTGATCCCCAGTTATTCTACTGAGCATACATTCGTAAGGGAACAAGGATGGACTACATAGTGGGGTAGCATCTTTAGAGGAGAGAGGAAGACACACCTGGAGGAGATTTGCACTCTGAGTGCACTTTTCTAGTTTTACACTGTTTTGATGCTTTTCTTTGCCTTCTCGACACTGACGTTTCAGGCCAATGATAGATGAGCAAACACAAATGATTCACCCGTGTCGCGCTCTCTCACACAGCTGCTGTTATTTCACAACCTCATGCGACATTGAGCATACCCATCTGACCGTTACCCTTTCCCTCCAACCTGCAGCTCCATGATGCACGCGGCGCCCGCGGTGATGATCGAGTGCGACAACGACAAAGAGAACCTCTCTAACGAGGCGGGCTACGAGGACCTGCCTGAGGAAGAGGAGGAGGAGGAGGAAGAAGAAGAGGAGGAGGAGGAGGAGGAGGATGAAGATGATGATGAGGAAGATGATGATACATTGTTTACAAGTAGGCGTTTTTTCCCCTCTCCGTGTCGTGTTTTTCAATCTGTATCATTTAACAGTTGCCTGCTGTTATTAATTATCATGTCAAATGAAAACTGACTAAATCCGAGAGTAAATGTGCTGTAAAACCAAAAATAAGAGGCAAAAAAGGCTAAAAAAGCATCACAAAGCTGCAGCGTTGGTGAGAATTCTCTCTGGACTTGTCACTGCCCACAACCTCCTTAACATTACAATCATTTCATTTATTGTTACAAAACAATTTAAATCAGTGGATCATTACAAGATGAGTTAAAATAAATTCAATCAATAAAGACAAAACGGAATTACTGTAGATGTGAGTGCCTCCGCTAACGTTTACATCATATTACAATGTTATGATAAATATTAAACTTCAGGGAAAACAAACACACAAGGGTGTGCAAACTGTTAATATCATTATCTGGAATCTAAATGGATCACGAGACGGAGATACTTCTCTGCCTCGTAGCCTTTGGGGAAACCTTGAAATGTAAACAATGAAATGGAATGAATAAAGAACAGCTATGATAAATAACCAAAACGATGTTAGCAGTGGAGACAAATCTACAGGAGCTGCTTATGAACAGCTTGTGAAGTGAGTATCAACGCACCACATCCATTTTGCTTCTTGTACATTGTAGGCACACTGGCGATGAAGATTTTACGAAAGGACTCTCTGGCCATCAAGCTGAGTAACCGTCCATCGAAGAGTGAGCTGGAGGAGAAAAACATCCTGCCGATGCAGTCGAACGTAGAGAGATTCGAGTCTCGACAACAGACGGCTACCAAACTGACCAGGTGAGTCTCTGGATTGCCGGAGATTCTACAGCCACTGAGCCACTGTTATATGAGGTACCACACACGTCATCACACACACGTATTTTTTTAATTGATTACTTCATTGTTTTTTTAGGCGATTGAGTCAACGGCCGACAGCAGAGGAACTGGAGCAGAGGAACATACTCAAACGTCAGTAACTTACATACGGTAAGAGAAAAAAATCGAAGTATATTAATAATCCCTGTGTGTGATCACGCTGTCTTTCTCCTACCGTCCAGCTCGAAACGATCTGGAGGAGCAGGAGGAGAAGAGGGAGATCATAAGACATTTGTCCAAAAAGGTAAGACGGAGAGGTGGTGATGGACAG